TCATAATATGTGGAAGTATCGAAATAATTTCCTAGAGTTATCCAATATGAATGCCACATAAGTCAAACGCAATAGAGATGTATCCTATCGCAGGCAGAAAAGGTGTTCAAGATAACGGTCGAGACTCAGACTTTTTTTCTTTGCTTTGAAAACCCAAATGCTACGCGTCTAAAGTAAAGGGATGGTCCACATCTGGCATAAGAATCAAAATCAAAGAAAAAATATGTAATTGAATTAATCAAACAATTGCCAATAATATTGAAAACTTTCTTTTCTAGAGCATGCAAAAAGAGAGAAAGAACAGCTACTTACCTAATCTTGACAAAGAGGATCAAACATGAATAGTCTAATATGAGCTTGATCTGTAAACGAGGTCGCTCTAGCCAATTGAAACATAGAAGGAAAATGATGATCAACAAAGTAACCAAGTAGCTCAAGACGACAAAAAGTGTCAGCAGCATGAATGCGAACCAAACTGTGAATGTAATGCCAAGGGATCTCTATACTAAGCTAATCATGGCCATAAAGTATAAATCTGCCTCATACTGTGATATATATGTGCATGTACTGTTGGAGTTATCAAGCTTACCATCAAAGGAGTATTAGGGCAAAAAATCCAGCCTTGACTAGAAAAAAAAAATAGCGCAACCAAATATAAATGATACCAAAAGCATATCCTTGAAAATCCCCCTAGCATAAATAGATTGTACTCCTCTGCTATCAAGGATCAATCAGCCCCTCTGAATGTTGCCTGGTATAATGAGACTCATTGTCAAAAGAGTCATGAATCTAAGCAAACTCAACAACATGTATTGTCTGGCTTAACAAACTCTTAATCCAAGTGTCTAGGAAAAAAGTCCCCGACGACTATGGCTTCTCCTCTTATGTTGATAAAGATGATAATAATATGTCAAACTCTGATGAAGACTAGCTAAAAACAAAAACTAACCCTTCGATGCTGACCAGTGGGTCGACAACTAAACAAATCATAATATGAAGAAATACACTCCTCATAAGGAATGCCGAGGTTTAGCAAGCCGGAAATAATCTATAAAACCCAAAGTGGGATAGTCATCCCGTTGGGTCCGATCCAACAAGTGTTCATAGTATTATCCCAATGCTCAATAATAGTCAGAAACCAAGAATTTTCAGTAGTGTATATCCAACTACAAATCAAACTCCTAGTGAGAAGGCTGGAGTCAGTGTGAAGTAACCTGGTCCTAATGATGCCGGTTGTAGAAAGGCCTCAAAAGGGAGAACTCGATCATTGGTATGAGAATTTGAGAATAAATCATCGATGATATGAGCAGTGAAATATTAGATCGAACCTACCGGGTATATACGTCTCCCTTCATGGGTAGATCGGTAGGCTAGGCCGCTATGAGCGAAGGTCTAAGATCTTGAGAATGTTTGTTTCGTAGGGTTGTGAAATCATATTTACTGGTCGGCAAGCTAGTCGTTTAGTTAGAGTTATGTTTCATCCTTTAGGTTTTGTTTTCTAATATAGAACGGAACCTATAAGGTGTAATGCCTTTTTTCATTTCTTCCTTGTAGCCTCTCTCCCAGCTTTGAATTGGGGCATTCCTTTTGCTTTCATTGTATAAGTATAATGAAACTCTCGCCTTTAGTCAGGGCCCTTTGCTTTGACTTATGTGTGTTCATTCCCAAGCAGCTTTGTTAAATTTTTCCTTCTTTTGATTCCCTAATTCAATTAGGCAGTCGTCTGCTTGTTGTCAAACCAACCATGTTCGCCTTTCTTTTTCATAGCGCCTTACTTTTGAATCACCCTTTTCTTTTGAAGAGTAGGAGGCAAGCAACCTTCAAACTAGTAGGCCCTAAAAAAGGCGTTTTTTTCAAGGTCGCGAATATTGTCTTGTAGTAAAAAGGTTGGGGAAAGCTACCGTTTCTACGACAACTCCGTTTCCTCGACTCCTGGTCGAACAAAGGAAACCAGATATTCTTTATTCTTTGGCTAGTCGAGTGGGAGAGTCCGATCCAATTAGATGAGCATAAAGCTAAGCTAGAAAAGCGGTCCTATGCAATGTGTAGATCGACTTGCAAAAGCCTCTCACATCGGGGATCTTTATAGGAGTCACATGGGAAGAACATAGCATAACATATACTAATATCACTAAAAATATTGTGAAAATACTTCGACAAGAAGCCGATCAAATAGAACTATTGCCTAATCGCATATGTAGAAAAAGCAAAAAGAGGGAGCGGGAAAGAAAGAACAACCGTTTGACTTTGGCACATGAGGTGGCGAGTTTGGCTATGTAACATAATGGAAATGTGTCATACAACAAATCCTGGAATGATGCCTTGATCCCTCAAGAGAGAGTCAACAAAAGAATACATTTGTTAAATCCACTAAAAACTAAAAATAAGAAGTGAAATATCAAAATAGAGTAAAGGAGCTAGAAGATGCAAAGAAAGACAACAGTCAAGATTCGAACATTTTTTCTTTGCTTTGAAACCCAAACGCTCCGCGTCTAAAGTAAAGGGCTGAGGCTGGTCCAAGTCTAGCATAAGCGTTAGAATCAAAGAAAAAATATGTAACTAAACGAATCAAACAATTTTTAATAACATTGAAAACTTTCTTTTCTTGAGCCTACTAAAAGGGAGAGAAAGAATAGCCGCTTATCTAATCTCTACAAAGACCTTATACCTATTTCCTTACAAAATAAGAATAACTGAACCAACTAAAGATCTTTGCCTTGTAACTAAAGACCTTTGCACTCCAATCCTCATGGCTTTTTTGAGTCTATTAAAGATCTTTGCCTTGTAACTTGTAGGTAGATCGTACCATGTCTCATAATTCTCATTCACTATTGATTATGAATGAATTGAATTCATTGTTACAAATAAGTTATCATGGTACAAAATTTCCACACCATGGCCTTGGAACCAAGCCATGTCCTTCACAATCTTCTTGTTACTTGTAAGCAAGTTATAATTACAAGCCCTTTGTCTTCAAAGATAGCTTGATGTATATGATGGGTTTGATATTATCATTCATTCATATTTCAATTGAAGTAATCATTTTTCAACATTCATTAATAATTTGATACCATGATTCAAGTCATTCTCCTTATTGATTGCTCCTCTTTATTTTATCCAATTTCAAAGTTATGGTTCACTTAATGTTAAAGTTCTTCTTTCAATTCCATTTCACTTTATTCAGATTTAAGCTTAAGTTCAAATTCTCTGTTGTCCAAAATCAAGTCCCATGTTGTCCGGATTTTGTTCAAGTCTGAGTTCAGTTCAAGTTCATGTCCACTGTAGTTCCAAATCAAGTCCTCTTGCACATTGTCAAAATGTTCAAGTCTTTATTCATCTCATTATTTGCAAGTTTAGTTATTGTTTAAATTGAGTTAAAGTCCTTTTATTTGTTCGAATCGTCCATATTTTGTCCAAGTCTTGTCCAGGGTTCAGTGAAAATTTCGGCAACCTCCCGGCGTCTCCCCCGTTTAGGAGAAAACTAGGGGAAACTGGGCCATCCCACCACGCTACTAGAGCGTGTATGGTAGGTGTCGAGGGACACCGGGCCGTACATCTTTCATCCCACCACGCTACGCGAGCGTGTATGCGGTCTTCAAAAGTAATCGTACAAAGAACACAAGTGAATTTCCCCACCACTCTACAAGAGTGTGTATAGGGCTTATCCGCTTCGTCGTATGCGTCGCACCGGGCTCCCTAGTACCGTGCTACGAGAGCACGTATAGGTGGTTCTCCGGTCCGCCACAAACGCCGAAAATGGGAATTAAAGTGATTACCCGCTTCGTTGTAAGTGTCGCATCGGGCTCCCTCCTACCGTGCTACGAGAGCGCGTATAGGTGGTTCCCCGGTCCGCCACAAACAACGAGAATGGGAAATCTGAGTTTTAGGTGATTACCCACCTCATTGTAGGTGTCGCACCGGGCTCCCTCCTACCGTGCTACGAGAGTGCGTATAGGTGGTTCCCCGGTCCGCCACAAACGACGAGAATAGGAAATCTGAGTTCTGGAGATTATACCTTTGGGGTCGACGACGATGAAGAATTTGCAAGCAAATATATCCTCTCCTTTTTTTTGTTGAATCTCCCCTTTTTTTAAAAAAAAATTCTTCCTCATTTCTCTTTCTTTCTCTCTTTTTTTTTATTCTCCTCCACTCCTTTTTTTTACCACTCATGCATACATATATCTACAAGTTTGTATTCACTAACATGAATGACACAACGAATCGCGATATCAGCTAATCAACACAAATAATAACATTGCTCATACCTTCTCCTTTTTTTTTTGAATTGAAGGAATTAACCTTAACTTGCTGTAACGAGAGGGTTTGGCAAAACCAAGAGTGGATACTTGGATTACTGGAATTAAGGTGTAATGGGCCGTTGTAGGTTGAGGAGAAGTTGGCTTAAGCTAAGTAAGTGGGCTTGTATTTGGGCTGTTGTTCAGTTGGAGAAAGGTGTGTAGTGTAAGTTATTGGTTATTGGTTTTTTGAAATTAACTTCAGGAATAAAATGCAATTGGGCCAAAAACAACCATTATGGGTTTGGATTTATTTGAGAATAATTCCTGCAGCTGAAAATTTAATGACAACAAGCTTCACGTGGAGGTGGGCTGTTTATTTGATCAGTAGGTGTTGGGAGGAAAGGGATCGAGAGGTGGATATGTGGACTGCTGTTGCTTAAAAATTTTGGGAGAAGTGTATGGGCCTTTGTGGTGTTGTTTGAGGGCTGCAGTTGAGGGGGGATGCTACATATTTTGAGAGCTGAGTGGAGCAAAAGTGGATTTGAGTGGGCTGAAATTTGGGTTGTTTGAGTGTAAGCCAGAGAAATGAAGGAAATCTGCAGATGGGCCTTTGGAGAAATGACTTTGCTATTATGGAGTCGTAGGTGGATTGTTAGGCTCTAGAGATAAATTGATGTTGGGCTTCCTTTTTCAAAAAAAAAAAAGAAGAAGTAATTATTCTGTGATACAATTATCATTTATAATAATCATTACTGCTATAAACAACAATAATCACTACTGAAACTATCCACAAAATGGTTCTACTACTAATAATAAAATAAAAGTAAAAAAAAATTATTACTGAAATACACATACATGTGCTCATAAAAGACAAGGAATGAAGTCAAATAAAACTCATAGCCAACAGTTTAACCTGCTGTAAAAAAAAAAGAGTGGCTGTGAGAGTGGTTCTGTCTGAGTGGGCTGAAGGTTCACGTGAAATGTCAGGGGAAGCAAGCTGTTTCTTGTTGCGACGTGAGGAAAACTCAATAAAGCCGCTTCACAGTTTGAAGAATCCTTCAAATCAGATGCCTTACAAGAGAAGAGATTACTCTCCCTTGCTGTTGGAGGGATTTCGAGTGAGCAGTCCGCTTGTGAGGAGGAGGAGCTCCCTTTGACCAACCTAAGTTGGCACGTGGAAGGCTGGAGGCGTGGATGTGAAGCTTTCTCCGCTTGAAGAGGGAGGTAGAGGAAGCAATCGTCAGACAGGAGAGAAGAGACCGAGGCTTCTTGTTGGCGGGGTGGAGGTGAGCAGTTGCTTGTGGTATTCTCTGGTCAGAGGCGGACCAAAGACTGGAGGCGTGGGGAGGAAAACAGAGCAAGGATTTTTTTTTCTTTACTTGTGGCTCCCTTCTGTCTGAAAACAGCGGGCATAGTTCATTTTGACGAACGGGGGCCAGCTGTGATTGAAGCGGGATAGATCGACGGACGTTCGACAAAACGAGGTTTGCATCAATGGAATTAATGGATCTGCTCCTTGTTTTCTCCATTTGGCATCTGTTATTGTTGCATTTTTTTTTAATTTAACAGCCATATTAGTGATTGGTCACTCATGCATTAATTTAACATGACAAAGATGAGTCAATCAGGTCAAAGGCTGCCTCGAATTGCATGCATTTTTCTCATTTTGCGTGTATTTCACTTCGTTAAATATGCTGAATTCGTCGAATATCAGAATTAGACAAATTAATAGCGCATTTCGGGTATTGTCGATGTTTCGGTCAATGACGCAGCCCGTTTCACGATCGACGTCATTTGGGCGACGTTGAGGGTAATTTTTACATGGGGCCACCTCGATTTGTGTGCGCATCTTCAAAAGAACAATTTGATAGTGCATTTAGGGTATTGCTGATGTTTCGGTCGCAATGACGCAGTCCATTTCACGATCGGACGTCATTTGGGCGACGTTGAGGGTAAGTTTTACATGGGGCTACCTCGATTTGCATGTGCATCTTCAAAAGAAATATTTGATAGTGCATTTAGGGTATTGTCGATGTTTCGGTCGCAATGACGCAGTCCATTTCACGATCGGGCGTGTCATTTGAGCATACCGATGGTAATTCTTGCATGCGCCCACCTCGATTTACGTGCACAACCTAAATTATACAAATTGGTAGTGCATTTAAGATATTATCGATGTTCCGAACACAACGACGCAGTCCGTTTCACGATCGGGCATCATTTGGGTAGAGTCGGGCAAACTTTTCTTGAAATTTGTGCTTTACCTGAAATGCGTATTGATTTCGCATGCTTTAATTTGAATAAATTGGATGTCACCCTTAGATATTTAGGATATTCTGAATACATTGGCGAAGTTTGTTTTGCGATCGGACTTTTTTTCGCTAATGCCAAAGCCAATTTTCTCGATATACGTGTTTTTGTCTCGAAATTTGTGCCACCAATTCGGATGATCCAAATTGAACATAGAAGACGTAGTTTTTGAGTATTCATAATGTTTCGATCGTAATGGAGAAATCGGTTCGTCGATCCGACGTCGTTTGATCAGCTTTGTAATTTAATTTCGGGTGTTGGTCGTCCCTTTTGACCGATCTCATCCGATTCGATTGCGACGGGCCTCGACTTAGCAAAATTCGATATCCTGATCGCAACGATGGTGTTCTTTTTACAATCAGAGATCATTTGACCCTTCAAGTGATGCGTTGTATCATCCCGCGCGTTGCTCGATCCGCCACCTTTGTCCTTTTTGCACATAATTTAAGTTATAGGGGTCAACAAATGCCCCCCAACAAATGTCGGTTGACGGTCCTTAGTAGCCCCTCTTCTCTTTTTTTTTTTTACATTCCTTTTTTTTGTCATTATTACAACTGCTTTTTGATATATTTGTATTTTCTCCTTATGCAGAAGATGTTTCGTTGGCAGAGACCTGATGATCTTCCACCAGGTGAGCCTAGTGAGGCTGCCATCTGGGATGCGATTGACAGGTGGGATCCCAATAGTAGAGTTGATGTTCGGGATAAACTAAAGCAGCACCAGGATATGCTGCGGGGGCGATATGTTTTTCACAGTTTCTTTACCCGCTCCCCTTTACTGCCAGAGCTTTCTAGGGATTCTGTTGCTTTTGAGAACCCGGACAGGTGGGTCACTAGTCTCAGATTGCAGTGCGGGGAGTATCACCCGTTGGAGAGTACCATTGCACCACTGAGTTGGGGGACTTGCGACATTTTGGAGCCAGTAGCCGATGTAGCGGAGCCTGTTGGATAGTCGAGACTTCTTGGTCACCGGCAGTTACAGCCGGCACCCTTGGAGTGGCCGAGAGACTCTACAGTTGGGCAGGTAAAGAGTCTAGTCAGGGTTTACATTTGTTGGGCACGCTACATTCTTCAGACACAGAGGTACATTGCAGGCAGCGGGGATTTACGGGGCAGTTTACGCCTAACTGTTTGACTACGGGCGCCTTCCTTCCTCTTGGGCCCGAGGTTTAGTTGAGTTATGGGACTCAGGCAGAGGTACTTGCTGGATCAGGACGGAGGAGCTCGCGATTACTTTTTCAGACCTCCAGACAGTGTCAGGGCTACCAGTTTTTGGCCACCACTTTGAGGAGTGTGTTCCTCTAGATGAGCAATTATTTCAGCGGGTCCTTTCGGAAGACGGTGACAGGCGAGGGAGGTTAGTACTGTTAGATGTTTACCCCGTCGCACTGCAGCGCTACAGACAGACGCATAGAGCGTCCGACCTATCGAGGCGCGCTAGGGCTTCCATGCCCGTCGATGTTTGGATTCGTAGTTTTCTTCAGGAGAGGTACCTATCTTCAGTTTGAGTTTCACTACATGACCCTTTTGGACTTGGTTTGAAGCGTGGTGCTCCATTGTCAGAGGAGACTGCTGAGCCTTCTTCTACCTATAGTTGTACTTTCCCAGGGTTGCCGGGTGTCAGTGAAGACTTGTTCTTAGTGGGACTTTTGGCTACTTGGCTCTGCACTTTTGTTCTTCTTCTTAGAGCAGGATTAGTTAGATGTAGCGTACTTCTGGCCGCCAGTCAGTTAGCACAGGGGCAGAGACTTGCTTTGGTTCCAGCGACACTTGCTAGGATTTATAGGTCTCTACGCACTGCTTCTGAGGCCGCTTCTCTCGAGTTACGGGATCTGACTTTACCATGGCAGTACTTGTACGGATGGATTCACTTGCACGCTCAAGGTGCCTTTTTTGTTCTGGAGTTTCCTGCTTACTTCTCAGAGAGAGGGTACCCCACTGTTCTCCCGTTGTCTCAGGCGTCCTCTACCCTAGAGTCGGAGAGGATCCGACTTTTCTTCTTTGCACCACAGTTGGTTAGAGACCGGTTCTCCTTGGTTCAGCAGCCAGATGTCGTTGGTTTGTCGCCTCACCTGAGAGGTATTGTTGTAGTGGATGGGATTGATCATAGAGGTAGACGCATGCTTCTGCTCCGTGGACAGAGTTTGACAGTTGCTGAGTACCTCATTAGCATACGCCCGGGCTGGTTGTGTTACCGTTCTGGTAACATTATGACGTTGGAGGGCTATCAGCCCAACAGAGTAGCCAGACAGTTTGGGTACTTTCAGGCTACAGCTTTTGACGGTCGCCCAGTTGTTCCTGCAGTTACAGATGTTTTACGCATGGAGACTGTACCGCAGGAGACCCGTTTTTTCACAGCAGCAGTGACGTGGCTGCACTTGCTCAGGCTTGGCACCGGGTCTAGTTTTCTTCTAGCTCAGCCATCCAGTTGTACCGGCATTAGTTTCACGCAGCTGACTTGAGTACGTTTGTCCTTTGGTCCTGCTCTGGAGCACGGAGCTAGGAGATACGAGAGCAGAGTACACGGTCTCAGGTTGCCAAAGGGACATAGGTCCCGTAGGGGTTTTTCAGACGCTACTTTTGAGAGAGGTACTTTTTTTACCCGTCCCTTTTTTGTCATTTATTAATTTGATTAAATATTGATTGCTTAATTTGCTCTTGATACAGGGACAGAAACTGAGGTCCATACTACTGCTGGGGTTGTAGTTCCCTCTCCGGTGAGAGCTCCAAATGTGGCACCCGAGCCACCTCGTGCTGAGACTACCAGGCCTTCACGCAGACGTGCCGGCTCCCAGCGTACTTCATCTTCTCGGATGTCTGTGGACGTTCACACTTTACTTGGGGACTCCGACGAGAGTTCACAGAGACCGAGGAGATCAGACTTTACTTGCTACAATACGTTGAACCCTCCGGACGACTTCTCTTTTCCGGTGTACCCTTACGGGTCTTTCTATTACGGGGAGTCTTCAGGAGCTGACGAAGGCTCATTTTCAGAGTTTTTTGAGACACCGTCATACGTATCAGCAACCTTAGACTTAGTACCTACAGGGTTTTCTTTCTTTCCTGAGTGTACCCAGACTGATACTGCGGGCCCTTCTTCTGTTCCTGCTGGTTACTCCTCTGACTCAGCGAGCCCCTCAGCAGGTAAGCATTTGTCTTAAGTTTGTTCATTTTAATGCATTATAATATTATATGTTATCATATTGATTGTTTGTCATTCTTCGTGCAGTGCCTGGGGGAGCTGACGACACTTCGAAGATTTTCTGCCACATTCCTTTACTTCCCGATTCTAGGAGCGCTAGCAGATGCAACCACGCTAGAGAGATTTTACGGGATCTAATATGCAGCATTGATCCGGGGTCTCCAGAGTCCTGGGATAGGTTCACCTCCTATGCTGACCAGTCCCTCAGCTTACTTGCTAGTCTTGGGATGGATAGTTCTGAGCTAGTTGGTTGGGAGATGCTTTGTCGTGATGCGGAGGTTTTCGTTAGACGATTGCGGTCTTTTGCTACCTTACGGCCCGGTACTACACCCCAGAACTAGAGGAGAGGCTTTCCAGACGACGAGCGGCAGCTGATGTTGCCCATGACCAGTTTAACAGGAGTGCAGTGGCAGTGAGGCAACACCGCGATAGTTCTTCGAAGATGGGTGCAGAAATAGCAGAGTTTACAGCTCGCGTGAGGGGTCTCTGGAGAGACATAAAGGAGGTGATGTCCAAAAAGACTGATGTAGAGGTGAGGCGCAGTCAGCGTGATCGTCTCACCAGGAGGGAGGAGCAACGCCACCAGACTTTGCACCAAGCGATGGCGGATGCCGAGACCGCATTAGTACAGGCAGAGGAGTTTCACAGTGCTGAGATAGAGTTCCAGTCTTTGTCAGAGTTAGTTGGGCAGTTAGATGATCTAAAGTCTCGTATCTCTTGACCTTTCTCCCTCTTTTTTTGTACTCTATAGTGTCTATACTCATGTAATTTCTTGAGTCTCCATGTACTTGTACCTCATGATGATTATTGTATACATATATGGAGGATTTTTTTTTAAAGCATTTCTTCTTTCTTTTTTTTTTGTTCTCAGAGTTGTACTGAGCGGTATGCTGGAGTTATACTCCGAGCTTGAGTTTTAGACATGTATTGTTGGTGTCACTCGGGATTTTAAATATTTATTTGGAGATCTCGGAACGCAGCGCGATGTCGATCCAAATAAATATTTAAAATGCCCCCAGCCTCTAAGGATAGTTATGAGCAGTGTCGCTTCAGCCATTAGTTGAAATCAGTAGCCGTTAGATTTAGCTCAAATTCCAAAAAAATTGGCTCTTTCTGCCCTATTCTTTGTGTGATGGACCTGACGAAAGATTTGTGGGTTCTTGGATTCAGTTGATAGTACCAAGTATGGGGAGTATCTTAATCCTTAACCACTCGATGAGACTTTTAATCTAAGTCACTTGAGATCATCAGATTAGAAGAGCTAGAATTTAATAGCTCTTTGTCCTCTAGTTGCTGAAACGGGGTCCCTCTACTGTGACCTTTCTTATGGCGTATTGAGTAGACAGAACTAACAGCGATCCTGCCATATTTGGGCATGTTGGATCCGACCTTTTACACCCATTCAGGCTTCAAACTCGAGCTATGGGAAATGTGCTCCCTGATACTGAATCTTCTGAAGGTAGATTTGAAGTCATCCTTTATGGTTGAAGATTTGGACTCACGCACACTTGGTAGGTGTTCAAAATTACCCTTGTCCACTGGAATTCTGATTCTCCGGTCAATTAGGAGAGTCTTGTAGACGATGACCCCTAGAGCTCGTTGAGTCAAATCAGCCTTCGTTCTTCCTGCAGTCCCTACTGATGGGTTGACGAAGTGGGGGTTCCGCTACTACGGCCTTTCTTATGGCGTGTTAGGTAGACCGAGCTGCCAGCGATCCGGCCATATTTGGGCGTGTTAGATCCGGCCTTTTACACCCATTCGAACCTTAAGCTTCAGGCTATTGAAAAACTTCAAGCTTTTTTGGCTCAATTTGTTGGAGCATATATTCACAAAAATCTTTTTTTTTTACTTTTGAAATCTTAGTACACTTGGAAGGAGAGATGTCCCGAAATTCAAGAAAAATTACCCACATATATACTGATAATAGAAGTTATCACATCCTGATTTAAAGGGATGTTCGCAATCGATGATTTTAAATATTTATTTGGGGATCTCGGCACTCAGCGTGATGTCGACCCGAATAAATATTTAAAAGTATTCCCCCCCCACCTTTTTTTTGCAAAATTGACATTCCGGAATTTTAAATATTTATTCGGGGATCTGGGCACGCAGTGCGATGTCGACCCGAATAAATATTTGGCGACTGATGAATAACATCACCGTGAATCTGACACTCATGGCACCTCTTAGCGTGGTCAATGCAGTTTGTAATCATTGTTGGCCAATAATAACCCATCCTCTTGATTTTAGCGGCCATTTTAGGACCTGACTGATGTGCACCACAATGCCTTTCGTGGACTTCTGTCACTACTTTATCAGCTTCTTTGGTCCCTAGGCACCTTAGCCACATCTGATCAAAAGCCCGTCGGTAAAGCGTGTCGTTGACAAATGTATATCGTAGCGCCGTTTTTTGAATTTGTGCGGCCATAGACTTTTAAATATTTATTCGGGTCGACATCTCACTGTGTGCCGAGATCTCCAAATAAATATTTAAAATTACGGAATGTCAATTTTGCAAAAAAAAATGGGGGAAATACTTTTATATATTTATTCGGGTCGACATCACGCTGAGTGTCGAGATCCCCAAATAAATATTTAAAATCATCGACTACGAACATCCATTTAAATCAGGATTTGATAACTTCTATTATCAGTGTATATGTGGGTAATTTTTCCTGAATTTCAGGACATCTCTCCTTCCAAGTGTACTAAGATTTCAGAAGTAAAAAAAAAGAAGATTTTTGTGAATATACGCTCCAACAAATTGAGCCAAAAAGCTTGAAGTTTTTCAACATTCTGAAGCTAAAGGTTCGAATGGATGTAAAAGGCTGGATCTAACACGCCCAAATATGGCCGGATCGCTGACAGCTCCGTCTACTCAACACGCAATAAGAAAGGCCGTAGTAGCGGAACCCCCACTTCGTCAACCCATCAGTAGGGACTGCAGGAAGAACGAAGGCTGATTTGACTCAACGAGTTCTAGGGGTCATAGTCTACAACACTCTCCTAATTGACCGGAGAATCAGAATTCCAGTGGACAAGGGTAATCTCGAACACCTACCAAGTGTGCGTGAGTCCAAGTCTTCAACCACAAAGGATGACTTCAAATCTACCTTCAGAAGATTCAGTATCAGGGAGCACATTTCCCATAGCTCGAGTCTGAAGCATGAATGGGTGTAAAATGCCGGATCCAACATGCCTAAATATGGCCAGATCGCTGGCAGTCTTGTCTACTCAATACGCCATAAGAAAGACGGCAGTAGAGGGACCCCATTTCAGCAACTAGAGGACAAAGAGCTATTAAATTCTAGCTCTCCTAATCTTATGATCTCAAGTGACTTAAATTAAAAGTCTCATCGAGTGGTTAAGAATTAATATACTACCCACACTTGGTACTATCAACTGAATCCAAGAACCCACAAATCTTTCGTCAGGTCCATCGCACAAAGAATAGAGCCAAAAGAGCCAAAATTTTTGGAATTTGAGCTAAATCTAACGACTACTGATTTCAACTAATGGCTGAAGCGACACTGCTCACAACTATCCTTAGAGGCTGGGGGAATTTTAAATATTTATTTGGATCGACATCGCGCTGCGTGCCGAGATCTTCGTCAGGTCCATCGCACAAAGAATAGAGCCAAAAGAGCCAAAATTTTTGGAATTTGAGCTAAATCTAACGACTACTGATTTCAACTAATGGCTGAAGCGACACTGCTCACAACTATCCTTAGAGGCTGGGGGAATTTTAAATATTTATTTGGATCGACATCGCGCTGCGTGCCGAGATCTTCGAATAAATATTTAAAATCCCCAGTAACACCAACAATACATGTCCAAAACTCAAGCTCGGAGTATAACTCCAATATACCGCTCAGTACAACTCAGAGAACAAAAAAAAAAGAAAGAAGAAATGCTTTAAAAAAAAATCCTCCATATATGTATACAATAATCATCATGAGGTACAAGTACATGGAGACTCAAGGAACTACATGCGTACAGACACTATAGGGTACAAGAAAAGAGGGAGAAAGGTCAAGAGATACGAGACTTTAGATCCTCTAACTGCCCAACTAACTCTGACAAAGACTGGAACTCTATCTCTGCACTGTGAAATTCCTCTGTCTGTACTAACGCGGTCTCGGCATCCACCATCGCCTGGTGCAAAGTCTGGTGGCGCTGCTCCTCCCTCCTAGTGAGACGATCACGCTGACTGCGCCTCACCTCTACATCAGTCTTTTTGGACACCACCTCCTTTATGTCTCTCCAGAGACCCTTCACGCGAGCTGTAAACTCTGCTATCTCAGCACCAATCTTCGAAGAACTCTCGCGGTGTCGCCTCACTGCCACTGCACTCCTGTCAAACTGGTGATGGGCAACATCAGCTGCCGGCCGTCGTCTGGAAAGCCTCTCCTCTAGTTCTAGGAGTGTAGTATCGGGCCATAAGGTAGCAAAAGACCGCAATCGTCTAACGAAAACCTCCGCATCACGACAAAGCATCTCCCAACCAACTAGCTCAGAACTATCCATCACAAGACTAGCAAGTAAGCTGAGGGACTGGTCAGCACAGGAGGTGAACATATCTTAGGACTCTGGAGACCCCGGATCAATGTTGTATATTAGATCCCGTAAAATCTCTCTAGCGTGATTGCATCTGCTAGCGCTCCTAGAATCGGGAAGTAAAGGAATGTGGCAGAAAATCTTAGAAGTGTCGTCAGCTCCCCCAGGCACTGCACAAAGAATGACAAAGCT